TACTTATAGAACATGAATCATTATGCCGCGAAATGAGGGATAACAAAAAGATCAACCTAAAATTCGGCCGGACATTATCCGAAAACAGTAAGTCTGCCATCGGTCAGCTGTTGTGGATCAATCTTTCACGTATAATGTACCGCTCTCCCGTATTCATCACCACTGATGTCGGATACACTGATATGTTTTTTGAAATCTGACTGCCAGTTTGCGCAGAATGTGTCTATGCAATAACCCACTTCTCCTACTAGGTATTCTTGATGAATAGTTTGCCTTTTGCGACGGGACGTGATCGGGTTAACAGCTGGAAAATTGATCAGGAACTGTGAGAGTAAGGTTGATTCCACGGCTACTTCCGGTAGGGGTTCAAGTTTGAAGGTTTTCCACGTGTCATGTTCGAGAGTGAGGGCACTGCATTTTGCAGTTGTTTCGAATTACTCGCGTGCCAAAACAAAACTCGGTACGGAAATAATTTATCAATTAAGACTGTTTGACTGTACGATATCCGCATTGACACCCTTTTTAGATTCAAGACGATAAATTGCAGGCATAAATACAATTACCTTCCATCCTATGCCTCAGAACAGTTCGCAAATACACTGATGGGTAAGAAATTCAATTTCTTTTAATTTGTACTTTAAACCGGATCGAATGACGAAGAATTATCGTACAGCATAATCTCATAATCCGCTCCATGAATCGTCTGTGTACACGGCGAAGAAAAACCCATCATTTTGTTTTGACCTTCTGCTGGTCATGAGGAGCAACTCACAGTTCACATATTTTACACGATGAACTGAACAGAGGCAATTGGTTTGGTTAAACGCGTCTAGTATCAGTTTGTGGAAAATATATAAAGAACTCAAGTGTCTCAACACCCTGAAGCGAAAATCGACCACTAAGAGCATTTTCCTCAAACCGAACCGTATCAGCAGTGAAAAATTGGGTTTGAGAAGTAGCGAATGCCTACGAATCAGTCGGAAAATAATACAAAAATGCTTGTGAATTCAGGCTGGTAGTTTGCATGCAACAATTAACATAGACAACTTTCTTATTGCCATCCATCAAAACAACGTCTGTCGTTTTGTCTTTCTTTAAACCAAAATTATTTAATTTCTGTATAATACGCGAACCGGTTTCAGTGCGTCTTACTAAGAAAACATCTTTTGCCGATGTAGTTATTTGTGTTCTGCCTCCATGTTGGAATGAACAGAAATAGATTCAAGTTTATCGGATGCAAAGAAACCCGATTCTGGTTACAGTAAAAACATTCCTTGCTCAGTTGAATTAGCCGGTTTCGGATTTGAGAAATCAAAAAGTTGAAGATCTTCGTATGTATACCTGAAGCGTTCAGTTATACCAAAGGGACTTTGACAACGTCTACGAACTATAACTTGGTTTTTAGGTTAGCGAAAGGCTACCGGCAATCTATCGACTTCCCCTCTCACGCATCAGAAAGAGACAGGATAGAGGACTAATGGATCTGTGATTTGCGACCATCATTACAGTTTCATCTGCTTTGCGGTGCAACGGAGGAAAAACTGGTTTCTGCATTCGTTAGTGTTTCCACACTGTGGCGAATCATCTGACAATAAAGGTGATAATTGAAAAACGGAATGTGGAAGGGATACATGAATCTCCTTTGTACGTGGAAGTACGGGAATACGTTTGGGGACCTTTTGTAACCTGGTACTGTTCATCCACTATAAGATAGCTCCTTCAATTACATTTCTTTTTTTCACTGGAACATGGAAGACAAGAGAACCAATAAAAGTCGATCAGTTAAAACAAACATCCTTTATTCGCGTCCGTGACCCTGGTACCCAAAGACACCTACAGACAGTTTTGGTAGAGTAGTTAGCAAGGCAACATTTTAACAAATTCCATACAGAAATATCCTCTTTTTCTGGTATTTCTCGAACCAATAGTCATTCAGATTTCAGACGATCGTAGTTCACTTTTTATTTATTTTACCGTTTTGGAATATCTCTACATTCTACTCTGTGTCATAATACAGTTCAATGGCTTTTATGCAGAATTTTCACTGAGGGATGTGAACATATTTGCAGACCAGTCCATTTCTTGCCTTGCTAGTTCATACTTATGTTGGCCAGCCAGGCAAAGGGCAAAACACCACTTACCTCAACTTTCACAATGGACACTTCTAGATAGTCTGGCGAATCCCCTTGACCTTGGATCAGAAAAAGAACAACCGGACCAGGTTGAGATACTTGAATTCCGAAAGCCAATTGATCTCTGGTTGTGTTTTGAGGTGGATTCAACTCAAAACTGAGCACACTGTTCTGACCTACGGAAATGTGTATCGCCGAAGTCACTGGTAAAAGGATGAAAAACAGATGGATTATCGCAGCACAAGATACTAGTAGCATATTTGTGGAAGGAGAAATACCAAAATAACAAACGTTTTTATTCTGACAAAAGATCATACATAACAAACCGTCATGAGCAATGCTAGACAACTTCACGCAGTATACTTAGTCCTATACATGGAAAAGGAAGTGTGAAGAGAAACGCTAGGAAGCAGTGGATATCTGTTCCAGCTGAGTGGGACGTCTCACCAGCGGTGCACAAGCCGATCGACTCAAACGTAGACCAAATACGGAACTTCAACGCATGCAGAACTAAGATACGCCATCCACTTGATGCAATAGTCTGACTGATAGCAAACTCACAGAGCTGAAGATCGACACTTCTGCCATAAGATACAAGTAATCGAAATTTGAAAGAGGTGGATAGCTTGGAAGTAATACAGAATATAAAATCACACATGGGGTGTGTGCGGGCAGATATAATAGTGAAAATGTTTAAGAATAACCTCGCAAAACGATTAAGCGGTTTCCATTTATGGTAATGAATACAATACAATACAATACAATACACCACCCATTATTGGCTAGTTTGGCGTCTCATTTCTTGGATCTTTTAATTAAATTTACCAGGCAAATTTATTCAGCAGCTGACAGCAGCTTTGACGAGAAAATGTTTTTGCAAATATTTGGTTTCGTTTCGTTTAGTACACATTCCTCTCGCGAAGAACAATTAATCTTGGCAAAGCCTATTCCCTGGTAGAGGTCGGTTTGTCTAAGCATCGAAGCAGCGGCGTTGCTCCCAAGCGTGTTGACCCTATAGGAACCAGCATAAGGTATCATCTTCCTAATCACAAGGGAGGCAGTACTGGGCAGTACTCATTGACAATCTCTGCAAGTATACCATCTGATTGTGCGGACGCACATGATGCTGAGATACCCGACCAACTACGCGCAAACGGAACAGAAGCCCACTATCCTCTTTTAGGACCAATGAAATTGAACAGAAATGCTGCATCTTAATCAATTCATCCTTTCAAAATTCTTTCTTTAGTTTATTGTGGAGATTTGGAAATAATTAAGCCTCGTCTTTCCACTATTAGCGTTCTCATTATGGATCAACATTTGCGGTATTGTCTACGTTGTGTTACAAGTGATGAGCCAAATCTTTGAAAAGAAAGGAATGCACAATGAGCGTTGAATAAAAACGTATTTCTTTTCAAACAGTTCTTTTCGTTGTAATAAAAACACTGGATGAGAGTGAACAAAACTAGGTTTATTGAGTAACGGCTAAATTTTGATATCATACCCTTTAAGCCATCACAAATATGGGGACCCCATAAACTTAGTTAGCGGCTTTGGAGCACACAGACGCTCGCAATACAATACTACTTATCAGTTTGAGAACACGTGTTTTCAATCTCCAGTCAAACTCTGTCTTCGGTGTTACGCGAGTCAATTTCTCATCGTCCCTTTCAGCCATATACTGAGGACCAGCATTATTTCCTTCGAAGTAGGAAACTGAGGTTGGGGAAAGAAAGGATTTGCAAACACATTTTGTCTGTAACTCGGTGCCTACGCTGATCTGAGTGCTTTGTTACATACACGCATTGGTAAGGCTCATCACATCTTTTCTCACCTCCGCTCTGCATTATTCACCATATCCAAAACTATAACAACCATGAACTTTCTGTACAATTTTCTGTCCAAGTCATATGCCAATCATTGAACCCATAGCTGCTAGGTCAACTGCAATGACAATAATTATTAATTTTACACTAAGGATAACACTTAGCCTAACCCTACTTTCCTCGGCCCCATTGATCAAGCCAAGATCCTTTTGATCGTTTGCCCTTCTGTAATTCGAATCACTGAACAATCTGATTCTGCTGACCAACATCCCTTGACATTGCTAGCATAATTATCGGTTACATTCGGTTAATCAACTGTTTTTGCCAGTCCTCTATGCCCGTGATACCAGGTTATTTGAGCACATCGAAAAAAACGTAAACATCACCTGCTTTGTAGTTGAATAATGATTAAAATGAATGAAAGAACGATAGCTTGTAGTCTGCTTAAGCGAAGAATACAGCGATAAAACCGCGGTTCACGGGAGATCATGATATTTATGCGTTTGTCTCTTGCGAACTCAAAACTGACCACAATTACCAGCAGTTAAATCCTTGCATTACTTGACTTCAGTAGCTGCCTGAGTTGCAAAGTTGTATTGGTTATATTCCAGTAAGAACATGGTATTTTGTTTCACGAGTACGTGTAACCACAGTTAGTTCAATGTGATATTGAAAGTGATCTCCTGGGAATAAAATTATTCTCTGTAAAAGAAAACTAGTACTTCATGAGGGGTGTTTTCAAAAGGTTTAAACTTTCCGAAACGGATCTTGATGACGAATAATGTCATGGGAGAACCCATGTATGGCCGTCCTAATTGGGAAATCATATATCTAAATATGTTTGCTATATATATATATAATCCCATAAACTTGCCAGAATATCCTCCCTTAAGCGTAGTTTCATGTGAAATCGATAAAAGTATTTCCAGCTGGTATAGATCTTAGCGTATTGCACAAACTGTTGGATTCATTTAACCGATGCAAACATTCAATGCACCGATTTGGCCGTCAAATGCTCAGTTTCTTTTTTTGATCGATTTTGAGCATACCGGTTGGTGAAATACTCAATAAGAAATAACCACAAAATTTAATTTATTGTTACTAAATCTAAACTTGATAGGATTGCGGGAACCATAGACGCACAATGTTGCACGACTGCAACTTCCTGCCCCCACAGCCACACACTATGTAAACCGTTTCATTCAACGGGTGGTCTATACACGTATAGTTTGTTTTGAAATATGAAACACACGAACTCAAGTATTCTCGCGTCACCACAAGCACTGTTGTGAGTGTATCTGAAACATCTTGAGTCTTTGTTCACCCATCATCCTAAATCGTATTGTGTGATCTGAAAGCGACTGATGTTTCGTTGTTTCACCTCTTCAACAGATCATGCATTCGCGATTGAGCTTTCGTGAATCAATCCTGTTCATCTTCGAATAGGACGGCCTTAAACCTCGTGCGACCCGTCCACCCCAAACGCTATCCTTGCCTCAAAATCTCCCCTACTCCTGTGCAACTTCATCCAGTTTACAAGCATTCTACCGGTTTGTATAATTCCATCTAGCGGGGGCTGAACTCGAGCGTATTTCACTGACAAAATGTTGATCCGCTATTTATCTTATGGCTGATCTGGTGGGCATTATTGTTTTTATTTTTACAACGAGATGAAAACGATTGGATTTCCCGGGAACGTACTGGTTCAGAGAAGTGTCGAGATCTGATTGAATGGATTGAAAACCGGAGCAAATAAAGCAATTAAGTTAATTGCTTAGAGTTGTCGTTGCTTAAAACATAAAGTAAAATCTAATTTAAATAGTAATCTACTGTACGAAAGGATGTCATTTAAGGATCTGCAAATAAAGCAATCTGTCTGCATTCAACGTTTCGATTGATATGTTAAGCTCGTGTGAACCGTCTTTCACTTTGGATTACAATAACTGTTCCATTAACGTTTTCGGCAACCGATCAATTATGCTTTATATATAACTATTTTGTATATTGCAAGTCAAACGTCTTCATTTAGAGACCAGCTGAAATCTTAATGCACAAGCCCGAGGTACCATCGATAACATTGAGAAGATTGAAGTTTTTGGGAAATAAGTAAAAACTGTATATATCTTAAAACCTAAATATAGTTTACGTTTCTCAATAAGTGTATTTTGGTTTTGCCATAAATATACCCAGATTTGTTTCTAAAAGTAGCATAATAACTTCATTTGGGTTTTCCCCAGCTGCTGTCCTTCTTTCGTGTCAATAGAATTATGCTGTGCTTCCGGAAATCGGTTGCCTGAAATTCACATGTGAATGAAAATGTGTCATCAGACTCTCCTGTGATGAGATAAATTGGTATAACGGGCAGCTGAATTTGTTCCCTTTTTGACGACTATGGGCCTACGAGATTGACGTGTCGAATGGTTTAGCCACGAATGCTACACGCTTTTTCAATCACAACAAGTTGTGTATAGTGTGTCGCGGTTTTACCATCCCTACTAATACTACTTTTACTACTACTGATAGTACTACCCCCATTATCTATGTAATCTGCTTCCATAAGTTGATAAATCAATCATTCAGTTTACACTTGAAGTTTGTGTTAACGGTCCTTCACTCCAGCGCTACAAACTACAAAATCCGATGATCATACACAATTTTAGACTACTCAGTGGGGAATCGTACCTTCCTTTCAAAGTACCAAACAAAAACGGCGAATGAATTTAAGGGAGAAGTTTGTTCTCCATAGCATGTTAGTTTGTTTCAACCCTTGGGTATAAGCAACCTTAAGACATGAGCAATGCGCAGGTTGTGTGAATATAAGGTGAATGGAGACTGATAATTCCCCCTAGTAGAGATGGGAACAAATTCTAATGTGTGGAAAACCTTAAAATAGTAAAACAAATCCCAGTGTTGTTAACAAATACTTTCAATCCACAATAATTTCACGTTAGAAGGTGAGATTATTCTTGACAGGAAAAATAAGTCGCTCGCTCAAATAAGTAGTTTATAATCCACGAAGTAGGAATTACTCCTTCCCCAACTTTTCGGGTGAGTTCTCTCCGAATGCGGACACGAAGCGAAACTTTAACAAAGACTATGTTGGCTCCAGAGTGTGTGGTTGTTTCTTGAGAAAAAAATGGGATATGTTGTCTTTCCACCAGTGACATATACACATAAACAATTCTTACGTGAATGATCCCTATAATTTGGCCTCAAAGGGGCAATTTTCTTGAATTATTTACTGCAATTGAAAAATTGACACGCTACACCGGGTTACACACACTTATCTATTCGCTCTAATTGCTCCATTTTTCATCAGCGCTCCCTCTCTGGTCCTGTTTTGGGGAAACCAAATACATAAGAAATTTTACCGATTCAAGAATGTCATCAATTTCCTTTGGGGGAGAAAAATAAATGAATCCAGAAAATACTAGATTGATACAGGGTTTTGGTTTGGTGATGGCGTGGTGGGAGATAGGCTTAGCGATTTAGGTGTGTATTCTACTTTCCTGACGATGTAGAAACCGGTTTGGTAGAATTGAGAACATTGATAACATGTCCAGAAAATCGAACGATATCAAACCCTTCTGTAATTGCTTTGGTACAAGTCAAAAGGTGCTGTGTGCCGACCAGTAGCCTGCATTCTTGCACCAAAAAATCATCCGCATCGGAAAGGAAAAATCGGATCCGAGCGTATTTGAATGTTTTTTTTCTGAACAGAATTCTATTGAGACGCTGAACAGTGTTGCTGACAATTAGCACACTGACGCATGAAATGATCAGATGGAATTTTGTTATGCTCGAAAGCTAACATATCTTTCATTCTAAATTCTATGGAGCCAGTGAGTGATTTCGATGACTGATCTTTCCGAGTGCTTAACACAACGATTATTTTCTTGACAAATGACTCAATCAAAAGCACAAATACCAATGTGCAGCAATATCCGTTTGCCAGATATAATACATTTATGCTGATTAACGTTTTTAGTGCTGAACAAAACTTGTCTTCCACACAACTAAGTTTACTTTGTACTTGAAGCAGTGTTACCAAGGTTGTAACAGATGATCTACATAATGTTGTTATTTACTTGTTGAAGGCTATTTCCTCTTACCTAAAGGGTGGCTTCGAATCGTTTTGCAAAGATGCTCGAACAAAGAGAACATGTTCCATTAGTATGATATCAAATGTACAGACCAGATAGTTGCCGAGTATTGTCGACCATTCTACAGGTTCTCCTTGATCACAACACAGTACTGAAACGTTTATGTCTCCAGAAAAAGTTGAAGAGGGAGCATAAAAAGTTAGGTTGCACGACCTATGATGAGGCAGCTTTAGTCGAGTCTTAAATGGTAGAATAAAGCAGAGAAAGACAATTGATATAATTGGATAGTACATTAGTTACACCAGTTGAGAGTTAGCGTAATCTGCCTTGTCATACACCTGGTAATATTTTGCTCTCTCTTCAATATTAAAATATTCAGTTTTCGGAATGCTGCTGAAATGATACTACCTCCAGGATATATCTAAGTGGGACGTTATACCTTTATATTATGAAGACATTTAGCTCATCCCGTCATCCAATGGTAAGCAAAAACCTAGAATTTCGACCATTTTTCGATTCGGTTCAGTCTATTCAAAAGGAAGGACATTCAGCGAAATTATTTCCTTTGGATGATTGATATTTGTTCACCGAATTTCATCAGCGAATAGGCCTGTCAGAAAATTTGACCTTTGCTATTTTCATGTACTCATCCAATCAATCAATCAATCAATCAATCAATCAATCAATCAATCAATCAATCAATCAGTTAGTCAGTCAGTTAGTCACGGGATGTATACAAAAGTGCGTTCCACTAAGTAAACACCTTGTTCGCTGTTTTGTTCGATGATGTCTGCGGAATGCATCACAGAGATTTATCTACAGCTAGTAAATTTCGTTGCTGCACCCGGGGGGCCAGTGCGTCCGCGATTGACGTGACCTGACCAGAAGAAAATACCAACCATTCTATGTGAACTTTTTGTGGGCACTATGAAATTGGCCCTTAGTGGACTAAATCCGAATGATTCTATCAATCACCACTGGCTTCGGTGATTATAAATCGGATGACTTACGGTCCTTGATTTGTTCCCAATACGAATTCGTTGCTTGTAGTGATCTGAACCCGAACGAAGAACTCTTATGCTTGATGTCACAAAAAAATACGCTGGAAAAAGATGACACATCCTAGCAACATGTTTTAAGTTCATTAATCGTAAATCGTTTACTAGTGTTAAGCAATCAAATAATTGGAATCATCCGGAATAAAACTGAGCATTTGAATAGTCTCACAGAACACATTGAGTACAAAATAATGTATCAAAAAAGCTAGTTCTCAGTTTTGAGTGATCATGGATACACAACAACAAGAACTGGGAGAGGAGGAGCAGAGAGAATCTCCAGTACCAATAGTTGTTATTTGGCTCCACAGATGTGTTTGTGTTGAATCGATCGAAGTGTCAACAGGTCAGTTTTCGGGTAGACTGAATGGGAGTTCAAATGGGCAGTTTAAATGCTTACACAAATTTCTACTTGCCGCAGAGAGTGGTGGTGGTGGTGGTGGTGGTTGAGTTGTGAATCCGAACGCTTACAGCTTCGGCAGCGGTTAGGTAGGAAACGGGGTCAGACTGTTGTTGGTCAACGCCATCAAAATTTGTAGACTAGGTGAAACGCGTTAAGTACATCTCCTTTGGACTTTGTGTTAGATTGCACACGAACACGCCCATACATTCTGAGGAAGATATGAGCCTTTATGATAATGATAATCAGCTTGTTTGCCACGAGGTGTTTTTGTAAATGAAATGAGGTCGCAAGAGGTCGCAGAATGTTGGATGGGTCACGTGCTCAAAGGACTGTCATAATGTTCATCTATTTGTAGACTGTTGAATCACGTTTACAGTAACAGATCTTGTAACTGACTACCTACAGCTCAAACCTACTTGGTCACCCGTTTTGCCAAGTCCACGCGCTTTGGTCAAAGCAGTCATTATACCTGATATTATAAACCTACCTCTGTTCCCCTCACCCGTAGGGCAAAGACGCACTAATTGAATTATTGCTTTCACACAACGTTCGATCTATCGATCATCGTATAGCATACCATTTAATCCAACAAAAAGAAAACAGTTTTGCCGTGGGAAACTCGACCGTTCGTCGATTCTTACGGAATCGTTTTGCCAATTATCGAGTTTCACAAAATTGCATTATAAACTTATGGTTTAGCCAAAATAGAAATAAACGTTCGACCCCAAGAACCGGTCATCTGAAAGACAGTTCAGTTCAATATTATGTGTAACTTACCCTCCGTACAGTGGGTTCCGGTGAGACTGGTCATTGAACAATCGCACCGGGCTGTGCCCCACTGCTGCACACACCGTCCGCCAAACTGACACACTCGGGGTGTACAGTTTCCTTGTGTCGACTGGCGTAACCCGTTCGGTTTTTGCGGACATCCTGGCTCAACATTGTTCCATGTGACGCCGGAACCCAGATGATCCGAGAATAGAGTGGTCACGCGTAAATCCGATCGACCGGTTTCGTTGGACGCAGACCCGCCAAATGTGCCGCGAACACGGTTAGACTGTTTGATTTGAATGGATGCCACACATCCGGCAAATCCGTACATGGATTGCAAAAAAGGCCGATACTGAGCTGATTCGGATTTTCTTGTGTAGAAACGAAATAACGAGAGGAAAAGGGGACAAGCTATGGGCGATGCGTCCTCGAAATCAACAATGGTTTGGACCCCACAACAAAGATGAACTTCTGTATTTGGGGTTAGGCAGCTTCAAACAAAAGATAAAAGTTAAAAAACGATTTCGCACTGATTCCGGAGAACGTGAATTAGAGACATTCCACTGTGGTCATCAATATGTTTTTACGCAAAGTCTCATGAGTTTCAAATTTGTTCACCGACTGTTTTAACCGATTTGGACAGTTTCATTGCATTGTGTTACCCAGTCGGCTTACATGAGCCCCCAGACTGAGGGATGGTTGTCAGGCCTTGTTGGATGGCATGGAAAAGGTAGGCGTTCAATATTGTCCCTCCATCCACACCGTCTGATCAGAAGCACTCAGGTAGCTAAGTGCAAAAATTAAAAATAGTAGATGTGATCTCAATTACGCTTGACCGTAAGCAGTCACATCAATAATACAACACTGAGAGGTCTATTTGAAAACGGAAGTGGAATTATACGGTACGGACACCGAAGTAACCCAACTCTGTGGTGAGTGGGTGAAAGTAGAACAAATGACGTTTTTTTACGCACTTGGTACGACCAACGGGGACGGGAAATATTTAATGGTGTGAATACATTTTTGCCAAATTGTCCCATTATTGTTGATGTAAAGAAAAATGTTCAATGTGTGCTAATCGAATATGATCTTCAGGAGGCTGCAAATATTATTCAATTCCCATCGGGATTTCACCACGGAGCATGTTCGCAAAGCTTCGAACAATGTGATTCGATAGGCGGCATTTTGTTCTCTCAAGGATTCAAAAAATAAAGATATTATGCGTTCGGATTCCGGATTCGCTCAAAATTTCACCTCTTATCAGTAAAGAAACAAATCCGATGCCAACAATTTAGAAGAAAAACACCGTCAACTTGAAACTACTGAGATTCCAGTGCTGATAATCCACACTGTGGATTGACGAAAAAAATGGGAATAATATCGCAAGGGTCTTTTTGAGACAAAACAAGTTGGATTGAATTCACCGAAATTGCCACAGAGGGTGAAAAAGTTCCGGCTATTTCTGGACATAACACTGGTGCACAAAAAGAAGTAGAGTGAGCAATTTCGTCTGAGATACCCATATACCCTGTGCACTAAAATGAGTCCATCCTAAATGAGGGCTTATTGGTTGTTTAGCTTAGTGTAAAACGGAGCATAAATGCAGCTAAGGGAATGTATAAAAATAAATGTCTTTTATTTCCTTTTCTATTTATTGGATATATAAATGTATGGCCAACTTTCAGGCACGGGGTTGCGGCCATACAAAGGCTGCCTGGGGAAATACAGAAAAGAGGTAGACGGGTGGAGGTGGAGAAGTTCGAACCCGGGACTTCTGGGCCACAATGTGGTGACCTAATTGCTTAGCCACCACGCTGGCCCGATCGGCTTACCGTTGTCGGATAATGAACCCTAATAAAACATTTTACCGAGTCAACCACTAACGGATTATAAATCAATTGGTTCCGTGATCAGAAATCCGTTAGCTTGTTGATCACAAACCGACCAGCTTTGTCCAACTGCCATGGATAACAGACACGATTGACAATGAAATTGATGATACCGAAATTTTAAGAATTCTGGTCACTACACTATGTAAAATAACTCCTTTCGTTCATTAAAAGAATCGTTGTATGTAGAGCAAATGAAGCTTGAAATGAAAAGCTAGAAGACAGTGGTAGGCTGTTTCGACCCGGTTGGGTTTCAACAGCAGTGCGACCCAACCGGGTATCAAACCCGGGACCTCACAGGCAAAACGCAAGCATATTACCCATTCGGCCACCGGACAGCTAATCAGACAGTTTCTCATTTTCCTCATCTCCTTCTCACTTGTAACTCCATTTTTGCCACTTCATTCTTGAAGCTAATGTTCAGGTAAATCAGACAGTATCAACCCGTCATCCACTATTGTTTGTGCTATGTACGACCATGACTCATCTTGAAGCTAGTTTCCTCTTCCGTCTATAATTTCAATTGTTTCAGTTTAACAAAATTATCCCTCACACAAAACAAGCCCATAGTCATAATCAGAACACAGGTCAAGGGTAAACCTGTTTTCGATGAGTCCCTTCTCAAGCCAGTGCACTCAGATTTGTGTAATAAAACAGCGGGAACGAGTTGGAGTCAAACATTCGAGGTCAAATAATTATGGCAAAAGGTGGGGGAGGTAAACAACTGTCTCCAGTTTCAGTAAGACTGTGTTACGTAAGCGTTGATAATTCATTTGGGTCATCGCAATGCTCATGCGTGATGTTGTCCGCTTTGGGCGAGGGAAGTTTATGGGCCTGAAAAATTGTTTTTGTGCACACGATTGTGGCTTCAACAAATGGATGATAATTGCCTCGGCTGTTGCTAGTATTTTAATTCAAACAGCCTTGGATTTGTGTTCTGAGGTGAGATAAAAGATGGTGAAAGTCGAACTAGCATCCACCCCGTATTGCACACTTGGTTGGTTGACCAGTAGATAATATTCAACAACTAAGGTAATTTACACCGGTTTCATGGTTTCAATATACCGGCAATTTCGCCATTTTCAAGTGTCACAATAGTAGTATAGTTCGTCAGGCGTATTATTCACCTTAAATTTGAGCTGGGGTAAATACTTAGATTCTACTCCTCACAAGGAAAAAACAATTAGTGCTCAGTAGATTAATCTTTATCGAGATATTTATCATTGAACCGGTGAATAATGTCCGAAGGACATTTCGTTCATAGAATGCACTTATTCGGTACGTTCGATATTGTGGCGAAGACAATGAATGCTCACTTTNTTCAAACTGAATAGAACTATGACAAATTCTGTGTGCAGCCTGGAAACTGAGAGCAATTTGAGACGGAAATCGCGAAACAACCGCAAATCCAGTAGACAATTTCCACCTTCTCCCGAGACTAATTGTTTCACCCATGTGCATGCCGTGTTCGTAGACGAAACAAATGGAGTCACTGGGATTTGCTTTTTTATACACAAACAAACGTGTGAATACAGAAAACAAAAGTCGTTTTTTGGTGAAGTTGTTTTATCGTGTTGGTCCGGACTTTTAATTCTAATCAGGTTCGTTTCGATGAAAATCTGACTAAATCCATCTGTTATACACTTTCACCCACCGAAGTTAATTGCGGTTGAATCAATCAATAGACAAGATTGATGAATTTAAAACAGTAATACTTAATCCCTTTTTATTCGGCAGCCTCACCAGAGATAGGAGAAAACTGAGTGGCGAACGAGTAAATGATTCAGCCGATCCCTACAACGAAAGATTTTAAGTATATAGAGAACAGTGAATAGCTAGAAAATTACCGAACCCGTGTCAGGCATTGGCTGTTGATAGGGCGCGAGAGCTTACCTCCGATATATTGCCGCACTTGTGTACTTCCAACAATAAAGTTGCGTAAAATTCCAGATTATATCTATTTTTACCAGCACCTGCCTGAGTTGGCTAATTTAATGATGAATCACTCATTTTTATTCCAATGTTGATCCACGTTACCTTGAGATAACAAAACAGAGGGACAAGGATCACCAGCTTTGATCGGGTAAAACCAGAATCCGCTTTGAAAACAATCTGTCGTATGCCTTCAAACCCTTAAAACAACAGTCTTCCCCCACACAATTTGTGTGCACAAAGTGACTGGTCCAAGTTGTCCACTTATCATCATCCCAAATTTATGACCAACATTTTCACCAGTGCTGCACAACCTTCACCGAGTTAGGATGACCCGACCAAACAAACACAGATACTTCGCCGGCCGATCACCAACCCCAATTGGTTCCCCAAATGACCACTTGTTGGCCGGTCTTGCAAATCTGTCTGCACACAAACCTTCAGAGGGCATACGCGGGAAGGATTCGGAAACACAGAATACATTTGTCATTTGTCTGAAGACACCAATATTTATCATGAAACAGCAATGCATACACTGACCAATCATTTTTCCGTATCTTCGTATCGTAGACGGCAAACCGCATTAGGGATTCGGAGGAATAAACGCTTCAAAACCGCGTGTTGGTTTTTATCTGAACACTTTTTTTGGGTAGGTACAACCACCGACGCGTTTCCCGTATCGTTTTGTCCAACAAATGTTCTCGCCCCTCCGCCCCTCCGCCCCGTCGTTCTCAGTTGAGTACCACAGATTATTTTTAGTAAATGTTGATCTCTGGGCAATGTGAAACTATTCACTAGAACGTTGTGGAACTGTTCAAGGTTGCCACTTGATAAATGAACGCATATCGTGCAGCGGCTGCAGTCTCACTCTCGCGCACAGACGCACGCGCCCAAAACACGGAGTGCAATACACATATGATTTGAACGGTATACGGTAAGCTTGAAGTCTGCTAGTTCAGTGGCCAAACCACTCACTTGTACGAATAAATAGCGGCGACAAAAAGCGGTTTGTATGTAAAGCATTTGTTTGTCGGGTATTTTGAACAGTATTTCATTTGGGCTGATTGCTGGAATTTGGATTGAAACGAGTAGATTGAGATCTGACGAACAAAGGAATGTTCCAAAAATTCCAGATGAAGTGAAAATGCCTCTTTCCCTTTCAAGAGATAACCATTTGGATAAGTCAGGATTTAACTCTAAATTGCATTGTTGAATATTGTTCTCTGCTGTGCGATGTTTTGACGCTGATTGGATTCCCAATCAGTATCCTGTTGAAGGTAAATTTGTAGCGGCTGTTTGTATCAAAATACCCTTCCATTTATCTAGAAATCTTAGTTTTGTACTGTGAAACGAAAGGATTATTTAAAAACGCTGGAAAAACGATGATTCACTTACAATTTAGGTACTCCACCAATCAATAATGTTTGTCTGGAACTGATTGGCCCATCTAGGAGATCGAGATTGATTAGTTCCTGATCAACCTGTACTGTGAGCTGTGCACTGGGACCCCACTGGCGAATCAGCTGAAACAGAAAGTGGTAGCAAGGACATAAAATAATTAAATAGACTGAGATCCGCAGCCACCTGAGTTCAGGTCTTCTGTGGTCCAGTTTTCTGTTTCAATTGAATACAAGAGTTGTGAAACAATAAACATGAGTGGACAGCTCCACTTCACGGGAATGAACATCAGACAGCGATTGCCTCGCTTCTCAAGTAACTGTCATTGCTGTGTTGCACATTCTCCACATTTCGTGCAATGCGTTTTCGCGTGTGTGCCTGTTCAAAGTTAACCGTAACCGGTAACAAACCCGTCTTCTGCATGGGAGTCAGTTTGAAATACCGTTGTGAGGTTGGGTGGGTAGAGCTCTAATTTTTCCGGTCTTTGTGTGCCGGTTGATCAAAATATCTTGTCACTTTGTATTCAAATATTCAGAATTTATCCACCATATGTGTGTTGAAAAAACAATGAAATTAAAAATAGCGGTAAAACCAGAAAAACAATAATGGTGTTGTCCGAGTTACCGATTCGACTCACTCCGATTTCCTACCCCTTACCCAGTTACTTTGACCCTTGGATTTTTTTCATTTTGTATCTAAGAAAACCGTGTATCAGTACAGATAAGTGTTTAAAATCAGTGCCATTGATAAAGGCAAACAATAAAGTAATGTTTGCTTCCCCCGGACTGGAACTAGATAATTCCGGAAAGTTTTACTGAAATAGTTCACGTACGACGAAGTAATTGGCGTCAAAGTCGGCAAATGGCAAGTTACTTTCATCTGATTTCGTTTTCTATATCACTAATTCTTTTACTAATGGATATTTCATTTGTTACTGAGAGTGAGAGGGTAATAGTGGATGGGATTATCATGGTGAACAAGTTATAAGAATATTTATAATAGGATTTATTGTATCACAAACAAACACTAACAATCATCGACGAACATTCTGAAACAACTATCGACGCAAGAAATAAATTTGAATAAAATTGAAGTGTTTGCATCTTCCATCATTAAGTTAAAAATGAAAAGACTGCTTGCTCTGTTGATTAAATATCGCTGCAGTGACATGGAATTACGGAACCATCGGACAAAAATATGCAACCGTATCGTGCTGATTGTGTAACTGTAAATTACGAATATATATTGTGAATTTGCACGAGATATACCTCCAAGTAGTTGTCAGCCGGCGATTGAATACACTCTCTTTTAAAGAGGAATATAATCAGGTCGAAGTAATTTTGAATCATCATTCATCCAATACAACTGCTCTGTATCATTAGAGTGATACAGGATGCGATTCGATAATATAGTAAATGTGGTCATTTGCACAGCAAATGAAGCAAGAACCGAGTCCTGATCTGGCAGGCTGGTGCCGAGACGAGCGAGGTGTGATGCCCACGGAAAGCTTGCAAAAACAAATTGTGCTCTCACATTCACGGGGAAATTGTAGAAAGTTCTGACAAGCTGCTCGTTGGTCTAGTGGGTACCATACCTGCCTTCTACCTGTGACGTCACGGATCCAATCCCCAATTACGTCGTTGAAGTCGCACTACTGATGAGACTCAAACAGGTTCAAGCAGCTGCCTCGTGGTTCTCGGTTTTTCCTTTCGCTCACCTTATTTGCTCTTCATAATAATGCTGTTTGGTTTGATTTACACCTGATTTCAAACTGAACGGACTGAACTATTTAGCTAACTTAATTGATCCACCAAAAATAGCTCCTCTACCTTACCTGATGGTGATCTGTTCAATCTGCTCAACTAACATGCGTGATATGTTTAAATAATCACACTGCTTACTATCAACTTCGTCGTGAGTTGATATGCGTGTTGCCTGTAGCTGATCTAATTCAATCGTACGTTTGAGCAACTCCACCGAACAACGTGGAGGTACTATAAAACCTGGTTAGAACATGGGAGCATCGGAGAACAACGAAAAAGCTAGTTTCAGTCAGCTTCTGAATGCGGTGTGGAACATATTCTATCTCAGGCCCCAACAGCCACCCAGTACGTTGCGCCTCCAAAATGTAGAGCCAAAGACATTTGCTTTCCAGCATGCAAACCGGGTGCACGACTGGTACAGGGTCACCTGATTTCAAATATCGCAATCATGTTACATATTATAATCCTGGTCATCATTTACAGAAAAAAAACGCAGATAAGTGGTCAACTAATGAAACCAACGCGTCCTTCTCTCCTCATTGATTTTTGGACCAAGTTAGAAGACAGTCTGTACCAGTCTGGTTTATCAATAATTGAAAACGATCTGCATTTGGGAATACACCGAAAAAATGAAGTAATAGGTGACCAATATTATATGTATCGCCGAATTACTGACTGATCATGTCTGCAACACACCCATCACGTACCTGAATTCGATGCCACTTGGAATCGATTATTGCACCGTTCCGTTTGGACTGTTTATTTCTTGTTTCATTTTTCCAATTGCAAACAACATTCAAATTACCATTCACCAGTTCGAGACCGACAATGTCGGACTCTCCACTGTCCAGCAGCAATATGATGCCAAAATTCTACTCGCACGAATGCGAATGGAAACGGAAACAGTCCAGAGAGAGAGAGCGGGGTAGGGAAACGGAATTTGAAAACAAACGTCCAGTGTTGAAGTGAAAGCGAATTCGTGAAACAAGAGAAGGAACCAAGTGCATCAACAAACGGGGAATCATTTTCAATGCACGGTTGTTTCCGATAGTAAAACTGTTTTTTTGTTCGTCTTGTTGATGAAGTCCCAACGAGAAACAGAGAGGCCTGAAATGCTCAAGTAGTTTTGGGTCAGAGAAGAGGTTTGCATACATTCAATAAATTCTTCTTTGAAGTACAATCTTGGATTAATCAGTCTCTGAGGTGAATTGTCTGAACACAATATGAATAATGGCCCTGGATACTGATCAATATTACCGTCACTGTTACACCCACGAATCCCTATATTTCAGTTGCTGATGCCAAATGTACAGCTTCAAATTCTTTGGACAATGCGTTTGATAAAAGTGACACATTGTGAGCTTTGGTGAATGCCATTCACTCAACGCATTTCCTTTATTATGTTGTAACCAATTGGAAACGAAGGGCCGTGTAGAAGAGAAAATCGTGTCACACTTTTGTTCCGGACACTCTGACCAGAATTATCAAGGAAGAACCACCGCACCGGCGGTGCGGACCACTGCCGAGCAAGCTGTGCCCCATCTGAAAAGAAACCACTTTTGCGTAGTTTTTTTTATTCTTTTCTGTTCAAAATCATATGGGATGGGATACCCTACTCACAAGTTAGAGGCTTATTCAAAACAGAAATGTGCTCCTTAATCGGTGGCATTCAATGTCCGTACACTGTACCAGATCGGACGACGATTCATAGCCTGTGGAAATAAATTGTCACTCCCCAATCACAACGCCGCATTAATTAGACCCACTGGTTATTCTCCGGCCTCAATCTCGGTTTGTCAAACAATTGAACTTGCAGCGATCTTGGTTTTGCCTGCCTCGGGGTCTGTGATAAGTTTGAAGTCTGAACTGCAGTCAGTAGACGACCCCACGTCTCAAAGGCTCATTGCTGTTTAACCGCAATAGAATAACACCTCAATGCTTATTCGTTCTGTCTGTGTACTATGCGACTAATTGCATTGATCCAGAAGAATGAAGGATGATTACTGTAATGACTTTTCCCAATAGCAGCAAAGTATTTCCTCCGCGGACACTGTAGACGTAGCTGGTGATTAAATGGTTATGTGAGACTAGACTTCTGCTGAAGTGACGTGTATGTAATTTCGTCCAATCAGTTGAACAACGGAAATTGCCTACTGTACCATTGCTGCGACCACGGATTTTGCCTATCGAATGCCAACATATCAAGCATTAAACGGTAACTGTGAAGAACAAGAACACAGTCGTTTTCAAATGATGAGCTCAAATTAGTATCGCTACCATCAGCTATTGATGGTGTGCATTAGATCAAAAGTGCTACTTTCCGTACAGATGATCACGGATCATGCTCAACTATGAGCAAGAGTTTGTCTAGGTCTAAAACGTAAGAGTGATGTTGACGCTGGTAACCGATGGCGCACTACAATGTGAGCTACAACTGCAAAATTTGATTTCTGTGGGTGGATTCTTCATCGTCCCTCAGATCATCCATCCGTCGAATAACTTGGTACTGTAGAGCCTTATCAGAGAGAATTTTCAGATATCGATCTGGTACACGATCCAAGTAACAGAGATAGGCATGGTAGACATCTGATGAGTCATTAGACGTTCACAGAGCTATTCGTCTGGATTGAATCAATTAATCTACCCTAGGTGATTAGCAGCTTACATAGATTACTTTCTTTGCTGCAGTTGTTATTTGTAGCTACAAATAAACTGCCAAGGTATTCGGTTTTGGTGAGGGTAGTTGGTGAGGTAGTTGACTGAATACTTCAAATGAATGTGTGAAAGTCCCTACCAGGAAACACGATCATTCAAATGGTATTAGTCATCCCGGTTACAGGCCTTGATAAGGGCAGTCGATAGTTAAAGAAACAAGGCAATATTTTCAGTACTTTGTTAACGATATATTTCGGTAGCAAACAGTAGAGCCCATGCATCTGATCGGTATCTTTACATCCTAAATCTATCTCACTTGTCTACTTTCATTTCGACACTGTTTCGGGCACCAGAAGATTGCCGCTACTTCGTCATGGTTGGTTGAAAGACAGCAAACCGCGCGAACGTGTAAAATTATTTACTACAAGCCAAGGCAAAGTGTGAATGAAGTATCACCGAAACTATTTTATCCACGCTAAAAATATCAAAACCAATCGACATACTTGAATGTGGTCTACTACGTTGATATCAACCTTCGAAACCGACAGGAAATTCCTAAAATATTTCCCTTGTTATGTCAAACGTTTGTCAACTTAGACATCCAAATTGTAATTTGTTTCGTCTCCAAAGTGAAAACCTCCCCGTTTGTGAATGACAGCAGCGCTAAATACTGGAATAAATAACTAGCGCTATTGTAGAAATTCATTCAGCTAGCGTGTCTTAACTTGAGATAGGAATGTTGCTTTACTTTGTTTTGTAACTATAGCAAAATGTTTTTCATTTGCCAAAGATGAACATGCACAAAATGTGTCATTTCAAAATAAATAAAAGTTGATGAAGCGGCTTTCCACCATAAAAGTCGTTTGGAAGCATTTTTCGTTCTACTGAAATACTTCGCACGCTTTTAAACTTCATGAAACGTGTAATGCCATCTGATAGACGACAATCTTGTATCGCGTTATGCCGCCAGCTGACAATTGATGTAAAAGTCGACACGATCGATCACCACAGGCACGCACTGATTTAAAATGTAAAACAATCGAAGTTTTCCGGAAATCATCAAACGAAGCTACTTTCTAATTACTAATGGAACAACAACAGCAGCAGCGATCAATGCGGCAGCGGATTCGACCGCAAGCATACATATAATTATACTTCGTTCATGTATGTCGAAATTTATTTCCCGGCAAAACACTATCTTTAAATTACGCGTTTGAATGCAATCGCAATTTCATGTGAATACTTGGACAAAGTATGGGAAATTCAAAACAAATCAGGATAGTATACATTGCAAATTGTTCTTCAAACGTACATAGAAAATAACATACGAATCAACAATGAAAAACTATTTTACGAAACAGGTTAACCTTTGTCATCTGGTTTATTTGGAGTCATCATTAGCACTAAACACTGTGACTGGACGGTACTGGATTCTTCAGGCTATAGGCGCTAAGCTCTTTCACATTTAATATGAATAATACAGGATTGATGGCAAAAATATAATAATATAACAAATATCTAGCCTTTAAATACGGACACCTAGAGACAAAAGAGATTAAATCAGACCGATAAAAAAATGGTTCATTAAACAGTCTAATCATGTTTAGGTCGGTGTTGGCACAGTGGTTTAGTCGCTGTTCCCGGTGTACCCCGGACCCTATGGTCTGTTGTTCGAGCCCAGCCACCACCACTCTTTGGTGGTATTTACCTCTGCTGTCATTCGATTCAATACCACGCCTAAACTATGGGGACCTTATGTGTTTTGCCATTCCAAGTCCGGGGGCTTAGGTTGTCGGTTCCCACCAGTGCCCCGTCTGTTGCTCATCACACAAAAGTGTGTAACAAAACAATTTACGTAATCATCGATTTACTCTATTGGTCATTCAATTCCATTTTTCACTTTCCGATTTGTTTTGCTGAAACCAAAAGAGGATATTTAGGGGTTTATCTTGAACATTCCTAATAACAAATAAACATGATTTCTCAAAGACCGATGGAAGCATGGAATATATATATATATATGGGTTTTTCTGACCATTACTCGCAAGTTGTCCTAGAAATAAGTCACCAAAATAACGCACTTAAAGGAAATCTCATGCTTTCAAAACAGTTTCATGTCGTCAAACACGAGTAAGTCATCTGCACAATGAACAAAAGATTTCTTCTTAGAAAAGTATCCCGTCGATTCAAGTAAACGTGGATCATTATGTTGCGACAATTGATAAAACTTTGAATGAAGGGGGATTATCTTGAATCATGTTCGTACCCCCAGAAATGACCTGGGCTAAGTACCACTTGTTTGTTCGAAGAATCTCTGATTGCAGACCGGTTGGAAACAATTCGGTTTTCTCCTCATGGTTCACACGCATCATACAAACTGAAGATTCCTCCCCTACTTGAAACTGTTTTCTATTGAAGCAACATACATTTACCTTCGGCCTAGTTGTACTTCATTAATTTCGAATCAGAGAAAACTCTTTTGGAAAACTAAAAATATAATAACAAAAATAAGAATCTGTGAGAGTTTCAGCACTGAATACTGATTTCGGATATTTTTACCTGTGATTTATTACCAATAGTGTATAAGAAAATACGCAAATGCATATGCAAACTTACGGAGACACATTAGTCGGAGCCGATTAGGATCTCCAGTCTAAAATAGTTTCCCTTATCATACATGCACTCAGTCAATTCTATTGATTGGCGTCGCTAGTTAAACCAACCAACCAAATAATTCTTCATTACAGAATGCATTTTTCACCTCACGTATAGTTACACTTCAGATACCTCAAGTTAGTTCAATGGGCAAAAGGCTACACTCCGGTGAAAATGTCACTGAATGTCCCCGAGAATGTGGTGGAATCTTTATTTGTGTAGCAGATGGCAGGCCACTATGGTGGTATGCACAAGCAAGTAGGGAAAAAGTAGTTACACCAAGAACAAGGGCGCATCATCACTCTTATCATCAGTATTATTATTCGATGGCGTTCAAGAGAAAATGTATCAGTAGTTTAAAATGTGGGCCGAAAAAGTAGCATCCATTGAACAGCAACATGACAAACCGACTACAGCTTATGTTTTACGGAGATTAGAATTATACTATTATACTATACTATATGTACTATATACAGGTATTACCCAAACTCGTGCAACATCATGACTTTTCCCAAATCT